GCCAGGGCTGTCGCGCTCGACTCCAGTCCACGTCCGAATCGCCCCCCCTTCACACACTCCTCGTCCTGCTCCTCTTCTCTCCTGCTGCCTGTCCTCCTCTTCTCCGCCTGCCACTGTTGCCAGTGCTCCCCCCTCATCGCTATTCCTGATCCGATTCTGCTCCCTGTCTGCCAACCAGCTGGCCGACAGTGACCCCATACACATGGGACCTTCCATCCTACCCAGCAGATGCAATACACAGTTTGTGCCATTTTTGCTCCTGCTCGTTCTCCTGCACCTCTCGCTCGCCCATTCCTTCCCGATTCTGCCGTTTCTGCTTTGATTTCGTTCTGCGACTGACACACACACACCGAGTTGATGTGTGGTGTCCGACTTAGTGGTAAAGTCAAGATGCCGAATGCAGGCAGTCTTTCGAGATAGAGAACGCTTCGGGCTTGGAATGGGCTCGCTGTTCCCCAGGGCCTTCCATGCTTGCTCATCTATCTCTCCTCCTCCTCTTTCTCCTCCTCCTCCCCCTCCTCCTCCTTCTCCTCCTCCTCCTCCTCCTCCTCCTCCTCCTCCTCCTCTCGAAGAGGAAACAACACTGGCATGAACGTAAGCTTTCGGAGGTCGTCGCGGATTTCGTGGACAGGCGCTGGCCCTCCTCGGCGGAGCCGGTCCAAGAGCTCCGCGCGGGCCTCCGAAGGTTGTCGAAGTGTGTCGTTGCTGTTCCTCCATCCTCGCAGCAGCCTGCAGTGGCGTCGTTGAGCACTGGCTTCGGCGAGCAGGACCGCGCGGGCGCGGCTGCCACGATGGTGGAGTTCGCCCCGCGGGGCCGTGGAGGCAGGCGCCGTGAGTACCTTTCGCTGGCCTTTGGATTCCCAGCGACCGCGGCCAGCCGCTCGGGTTTGCCTGCTTTGTTTGAAGAGGGCCGGGGGTCCACAAGTCCTCGTCGTCTTTTGGATGGTGAGGATGAGGAGGACTGGTTCTCGCCAGCTTTCTTGTCATCTGCCCCGATCCCCGACGCCGTGCTCTTTTAAAGTTTGGGCCCCCGGAGGCTTGGATCTTCCCCAGGACTGGTTTTTCATCCTGAGTCGTTTGTTGACAGGCTGGGGTAAGCCCATTTGAATGCTTGACATGGCGAGAAAAAAACACCCACCGTTCATTCTGCACGACGCGAGGAGGGGAGACACAGCCCTCGTCAGCTTCCTCCCTCCGCAAAGGGCTGCGCTGCAGCTGTCTGTAGTGGTTAGGGCTTAGTTATAGGCGTGCGAGGCGCGACCTGACCCGAAGAAGGCGGGCCCCCCGCTGACCAGGTGCAGAGCAGCGGGGCCGCACAAAGAGTTCTGCTGGTCTCCCTCCGTCCTCGTAGCTGTACTCTCGTCCGCGCCGTCTCCGTCGTCGTCGCCGCTCCCCCTCCTACTCCAAGGGTGTCCGAGGTTCGGGTCGGCTCGGCTGCGTCGCAGTCGGTTGCGTTCGGTTCGCTTCGGTCGGTCGTTGCGTCGCCGCGTCCTTCCAATCGGGCTGCTGCTTGCGGTCTGTCGGTTTCGGTCGCTTTCGGCTTCGACGGTCCGGCTTTTTTTTGGGCTGTGCTGTCGCCGTGGACGGCCTCCTCCTCCTCTTTCTCCTCCCTCTCCTCCTCCTCCTCCTCCTCCTCCTCCTCCTCCTCCTCCTCCTCCTCCATCCTCCTCCTCCTCCTCCTCCTCCTCCTCCTTGGAATTCTCACAGCGGTCCCTAGAGCTCCTTTGAAAACCCTGAACCTCCAGGTGCTCTCCAAAAGCCTCCTCCCCCCTCGTCTTCGTTGCGCCGCGTTGCCGCGGTGGCCGCCCCAGTGCGGGCGTTCACAGCTGAACGCCGCTAGTGGTCCAGCATCGGCCGGTAGCGAACGATCAGTGCTATCGGATAGCCCAGATCGCTCCTGCTGATGACGATGATGATTCTGATGACGACGGCGATAATGACGATGACGACGGCGATGACGATGACAACGACAACGACGACGATGATGATGATGATACGGATGATGATGATGATGATGATGATGATGATGATGATGATGATGATGATGATGATGATGATGATGATGATGATGATGATGAGGACGATGTTGATGATGATGATGAGGATGATGATGCTGATGCTGATGATGACGAGGATGATGAAGATGTTGATGATGATGGTGGTGGTGGCGGTGATGATGATGTTGATGATGATCATGATGATGATAATCTGAATGATGATGATGAGGATGATGATGATGATGATAATGATGATGATGATGTCGATGATGATGACGACGATGATGATGATGGTGATGATGACGATGCTGATGGTGGTGGTGATGGTGGCGGTTGTTCTTGTGGCGATGATAATGACGAGGAGGAGGAGGAATATTGTGATGATGATGATGATGATGATGATGCCGATGCTGATGATGATGATGATGATGATGATGATGCTGATGATGATGATGATGATGATGATGATGATCATGCTGCTGATTGGTGGTGATGTTATTGATGATGCTGCTGCTGATGATGATGCCGATGCTGATGATGCAGGTGATGATGCTGATTATGATGATGCTGATGATGATAGTGATTCTGCTGATGATGATGATGATGATGATGATGGTGGTGGTGGTTGTGGTGATTCTGATGATGATGATGATGATGATGATGATGATGATGATGATGATGATGGTGGTGGTTGTGGTGATTCTGATGATGATGATGATGATGATGATGATGATGATGATGATGATGATGAGAGTTGCCTTCTGACTTCGTTGGCATGCATGCGGATCTTAGAGAATTGAGCGGGCGGCCGAGATCCAGCGCAATTCAGTGCGGTCATGCCGAATTCTGTGCGCATATCTGCGCGTTGCAATCCTCAGCGCCCGCGTTGTTGTTTGCCCCTTCGTCAATCAGTGCTCCAACTGATGGGGTACTTGCGTGTACTGAATTTGGCGAACGTGCTGGACCGATTCCTGTGGGCGGCCAGGTTCTCGATTCTGGGTCCTGGGCCCCGGTATTGCAAGGATTCGAGGTATTTGTCATGGATTGCGGTAGGAAGCCAAGTCCCAGGATTTTGTTGGGCCTTGATGAAAAGTTCCCGCCGTTTCCATGTGGTGGTTGAGGTCAGAGTAGAGGGAGGCAGAAAGCGAGAGAGAGATGGATATTTAATATTCCTCTTCGAATATTCTTATAGCGGAAACCCCCTCTGACCCCCCCCCGTACATAATTCGGCTCCGGGTGCTCCCACCGACGTCGAATTCGAATTTCGGTTTCGGGAGCCTCTATCGGCCATCCCTGGACGGTCCCGCAAAGCCCCAAGGCGGCCCAAGACCGCTCCAGAACGGCTCATGAGCGCTCAAAGAGGCCTCAAGGTAGCTTCAAGACGGCCCAAGATGCTCTCAACAAGAGGCCCCCAAGAAGACCCCCAAGAGGTTACAAATCGCCCCATTCCTTTCGGGAAACGTACATTTTTAGCATGTCCGCTTCTTTGGCCTTCACCGCGTTCAAGACGACACAGGAGGCTCCCAAGATCGCCCCAGGACGGCCCAAGAAGTCCCCAAGGGAGCCCCAAGACAGCCCAAAAGGGCTCCAAAACGACCCAAGAGAGACCCAAGACGGCCCCAAAAAGCACCAAAAGGCTTCTTAGAGAGCCCCAAGAATGCCGCAGGAGGCCCCCAAGAAGAACCAAGAGGGCCCCAAGACTGCCCAAGGCCCCCCAGGACGGCCCAAGAGGGTCCCGGGACGGCCCAGGAGGGCCGCCAGACAGCCCAAAAGAGCTTCAGAAGAAGCCCCACGAAGAGCCCCGAGAGGCTATACCCCTATCAGCCATATGAGGCCTGTCGGCCCCACAAGCCCTACGACCACTATGGCGCCTCATGGTGCCCCATGAGCCCAGTGAGGCCTGGGAACCCTAACACCTCCAGAGCTCTCGCCCCTGCACGCCGCGAGACCCCGAAGGGCCCCCCCAACTCATAATCCAGATCACGGGTGTGCCGCCATGGACGATGCGGCGGCATGCACACGTTGGCTCTTCACCGTCGGTGGAACGGTGAGGCGGCATGCACGCGTTGGCTCTTCAGCGTCGGTGGAGCTCCCTGTGGGGTGCGGTCCATGTGAGGGGACATTCGGCACACATGTGGTGACGTAATTAGCGTTCTACGGATCCTCCCAGGAAGACGGATCACAAGGGCCCCATGAGGGCCACGAGACGGCCGAAGGTGCCCCACTGCGAAGAGCCGCAGGTGAAACCCGCTCTATTGGGGGAGCGGCACACAAGGAGAGGAGAATTAGCAAGGAGGTCGAAGGAGGGAGGAGGATGGAAACAGGAAGAGACTGCCTTATGAGCCCTATGAGCTTTATGAGCCCTATGAGCCCCATGAGCCCGATGACCCTTATGAGCTTTATGAGCCTTATGAGCCCTATGAGCCCGATTACCCTTATGAGCCCTATGAGCCCCACGAGCCCTGTGAGCCCTATGAGCCTCATGAGCCCTATGAGCCCTATGAGCCTTATGAGCCCTATGAGCCCCATGAGCCCCATGAGCCCTATGGGCCCTATGAGCCCTGTCCCATTGGTGTCTTGTCGCTGTCCCGTCGCTGTGCCGTTCCCGTCGGTGTCCCGTCGGTGTCCCGCGGTGGGATCGATCGAGTGGGATCGGTAGTGGGATCACATCGCGGCGCAGCATCGTCCCCACGCGTCGTCGCCAACTCGAGGGCGCATCACCAGCATCAGCTATCGCAGTAGGCGTCAGTTTGGTCTTTCCCCCCGTGCACGGCAGGAATGACGTACTCCCCCGGGAAAACTGCGTTGCAAAAGACACGTGGCAAGCCGTTCTGACAAGTAGCCCATGCCACACTGGATCAAGAGACCAGTGAAGCCCTCTCAAAGCGAGACAAAACGAGGGCCGGGGTCTCGAAGCCCCGGAGTCCTCAGCAGCACCCCTGTGGGCCTCCGTCGCCATTTCGGCTCCCAGCGCCTTTGGAGGTGCCGCAGGACCTGCTTGCCATGGGGTGCGGGCGGACGCGCCGCGCACTGCCGGCCGCCAGGCTGCTTCTCCTGCTGCCCTCCGTCTCGGAGGGGGGGGTCGGCTGCGGCGGCCATGAAGCGCCGGCCTGCGCCTCCTGCCCAGAGGACTTGGTGGGCCAACTTTCCACCACCACTACCACAGGCAGGACGGCGGACAAGAGAGGATGGGGAGGTCCTCCTCCTCCTCCTCCTCCTCCTCCTCCTCCTCAATCTTTCTTTTGGAATCCGCCTGTAGGAGGACATGCCCTGTCGAAGTCTAGTGTCTTTCGGCCCAGCCCGCCACCGTGCCCTCTTTGGGCCGCGTGGAGGCCTTTGGGAGGCCTCTCTGGGGCCTCTCGGGGGCCTCTCGGGGCAGATGTGGGCCGTCCTGGGGGTCTCCTATGGGGCCTCTGGGGTCTTCTTGGGGGCCTCCTGTGGGCCTGCTGGCTGTTTCGTGTGCCACCTTGGGCTGGAAGGCCTCACATTGGCTGCCGTGGGCCGTCTGCTCGAAATAGCACTCCGAGCTCCCCCTCTCGGGCTCTGGTGGGCCCCTTGGAGCCTCCTAGGCCCTGCTTGGGGGCCTCCGGGGGCCCTCCTGGGCGGGTCCTGGAGTCCTCTTGGGCCGTCTTGCATGCTCTGAAGACAGACGCAGGTATACGAAAGTCATACAACACACATGTCTTACAATGATCTAGGCTGCTTGGACTGGCCCCCAGGGTTTCCAAGACGACCCACGTGGCCCCGAGGAGATCCCCAGGACGGTCCTTTCGGGCTGACGGGGGTTCCCAAGCCTGTTTGAACGTTTCCTGGAAGTCTCCGGGACCGTTGAAGGAACAACTCGGCAACAAACGTTTAGGAGCCACTTCGCATGACCCTCCTTCCGCACCCTGGCTCATTCATTGAACAAGCGCTCCTGGAGAAGCGGTGCCAGAAAATGTTTGAAACCAACATCTCGAGGGCGATATTTGCCAATGTTGAGGCTGCGGGATGGAGAGTGGAATTTGGTTCTGTCTAATTCGGACGCTGTTGTTGCACATTCTCTTCCAACCAGAGGAGGACGTTGGGGTCGGTCTGGGCTGGTTCGGCTGGCTCTCTGGAGGCCAACGGGGGCTCGCCTTGAAGCGCCCAGGACAGTAGATGGACAATCTATTCGAACCCTTACACATTCGAGGGAGATTCTAAATCACCCCCGCGCCCCCGACATCCATGTTGATCTCAGTAAAGGCGGTACTTTGGGGTTCGAATATTTCTGTCCACTCACGCCCCCCCCCGTCGCCACGCCATCAATATTAATGTCGGGGGGTCTGGGGGGCATCTTGGGCCACAGGGTTCGAATATAATGTCCATGTACGGGAACGCCTCGGAGATCCGGCAATTTGGTGGTTTGGGCCCGTAATACTGCCACAGCCCATTCGCACTCAAACGTGTGTGAGCCTTGGGCGCTCCGCTACGTTCTGCAGGCGCCGTCGCGGATGACCGACTATTTTTCACTTCTTCTGGCAACGTCCGTTCCCCGGAGGAGGGGGTCAGGGCTCATTTCGATTCCTTCGATTCGATTCGATTCGACTTCGGTGGCTTCCGATTCCGATTCGAGTCGACTTGGGATTCCGATCTGGGTCCCGATTCCTCACTGGAGACATACTAGCTTGCCGATGTCCGCCGATTCGACTTTTTCCGACTCGACTTGGCTGCCGATTTTCGCCGATCCGCTCTCATTCCGGTCGCCGATCCGACTTGTCGATTCGATCCTGGGCTCTCCTGGGGGGTGGGTGGGGCCCCATGTAACAGTAGCGTTTGGGCGGGGTGAGTTTGGAGGGGGAAAAGCACACAGACGCAACATATCGACGATTCCTTGGAAAATGCAGGAAAATGTGGGAACCCGGGGGGAAGACGAACATCCAGAAACTATGGAAGAATAGATGGCATCCTGGGATCTGTGTCTGTTTATTTGTGCGTCCCTGGGCCCCCTCCGTGAGACACGTCGGGGCGGGGGGTGCGCTGCGATCGCCACAGTGCGCGCGAGGGCACCCCCCTGTTGGGGGAGCAGGGGGTCCAGGCCCCCCCCCCCCCACGCACGATCGCTGCCTCTGTCCAGGGGGAGGGCCGGGGGGGGCTGGCCCGGGAAGCGAACTTCGCGCGCCACAGGGCAACACGAGCCGTCGCTCGCAGAGCTCCCCCTTCGAGCACGGGCGGCCCGGGTCAGCAGGGCGACCCTGCCAGAGCAAGGGCACCCTCGTGCCCTGTGTCCTGCGACACGTGCCTCCTGCATTCCTGTGGCAGCGTGGCCCTCGGAAGGGCAATTTTGTGCCCTCTCGCGTGCCCTCTCCAATATCGAGTCCGACTGCAGCGGGCCCGACCAGTCTCTCGGAACCTCCTGCCCGCACCGCCCACACCCATGCCGTTCCTGCTGCATGTGCGCCGGCACCACCCACGGGCGGCGCGCCTGCTCTGGACTCTCGCGGCATCTGCTCGGTGGCGGGCGCTCTCGGGCCATGCCGCCTCGGCGGCGGTGTGCTGTGGCGTGCTCGTGCTCTCGGGGTCCGGTTCGGGCGTGCGGCTCCCTATGGGGGCGCGGTTATAGTGCCAGCGTGCCCTGCTGCGTCTCGGCCTGCCGAGCCAGGGGTTTTGGTGGTTCGTTTCTCATGATGTGTCGCGCGTCTGCGGAGGCAGCGGCGTGCGCGCGCTTGCGCGCACGTGCCGCAGGCAGCGGCTCGCACGAGCTCGGAGGCCGCAGGGATGCTGTGCGGCCGTGGCAGGCGCCGTGCCGAGATGGGCGACCTGTCTGAGCGGAAAGCCCCAGGCATCTGGCGTCTCGCAAACGTGGAGACGGAGTTTTTACATTGTGTGTTCGTTCCCTCGGGGCCCTTGCCGGGCTTCAGGACAGTCGAAAACGACTCGGGATGAAACACCAGTCCCGGGGAAGCGGTCGAGAGGTCGGGGGCCCGCGCCGCGAATAGAGTCGAGACGCCGGATGTCTGGGACTGGCAGTCGCGCGCTACCTCCAGTCCCAGCTTGGGCCCCGGGCTGGTGCACGCGTCGGCGGCGAAATCTGAATCCTACCCTCGTCGACAAACGATCCAGGCAACTCGATGGGCGGCGGGGGTAGGGTTCGGAGCATTCGCCGAAGACGCGGCGAAACCCAAACACTACCCCCGCCTCCCATCGATTCCGGAGAGTCGAGAGTCGATGGTTCGTGGGAGCAGGGTTCGAATCTCGCCACGCAAGTGTGCCCTCCCAGCCGTGGAGAGGGGGGCCAGTGCGGGGCCCCAGCTGTGCCTGGCCACGGCTGGTGGTGGCGCGCAGCTGTCGCCATGAAGCCGGCGGGCTCCGAGAGGGCAGCGGGCCCCTCAGGTTGTTCGCCGTGTGCGGGCTCCCTGGGCCCTCCACGGGCCCCGGGGCTGTCAGAGCACCACTCGGGGAGGACGAGCTTGCCATCAGTGGATGGCCATGGGGTCCAGGACCGGTTTCCCTCAGTGATCCCTCTAGATCCCGATCTCTTTGGGCTGCCCGGGAGGGCCTCCATCCAAACATCGGCGACGTCGTCTGTTTCGACGACGACGACAACGACGACGACGCCGACGACGAGGACGACGACGACGACGCCGCCGCCGACGACGACGACGACGACGAGTTTTCTCTCGCGCCGATCAGTGTTTGCAGGCCCCGCGGGGCCGTCTCCGAAACGGCAATACAAGCGCTTGCAGGGCTGTCTCGTGACGCTGGATAGCCTTGGCCCAGGACTGTCTTCGCGCTCCCTGGCCTGTCCCTTCAAAGCGTTCTGACCATGACCTCGGGGCGGATCTGGTCGCGGCGACGATGGCCCCCCAGAAGCCAGAAGCCAGAAGGCCCAAAGAGGGCGAAGAGCAAATAATCCCTCCTCCATCCTCGTCCCTCCTCAAGCGGCTCAAACTAGATTCCTGGACCCCTCCCTGACACCGCCCTTTCGGCCCTGGTTAGCTCTTCGAGCTGCGCCTGGCCGTCGCATTCGACGGCCCCCCCGCTGAGGCTAGAGAACAAAATAGAGCATGATTATCACACTTCCCCTCCCCCCTCGAAGTCCAGTGAAGTCCAGGGCTTATCATCGCTTCGCTCATTCCGCCGGCCCATATCGAAGACGCCTACGGCGAGTCACCGCCGCCTCCCGCCATTTCGGAAGCGCCTATGTGGTCGAACGTTGAGGCCAGAGCCCTGCCAAGCTATCGGACCATGTGTTCCCCGAATCGGTTTGGAAAGCCTTTGGGGAACACGTGGGGGAGGATGGGGAAGAGGAGGAGAGTGAGGAATGGGCGTGTTCGGGGCCCCTTGGGGGCTCTGGTAAGCTTTTGGAGGCGTCTTGGGGCCTGCTGGCCGAAGGTTGGGTCAGATCCTTGCCAATCTTTCGGATCGAGTGTTCCCCGAATCGGTTTGGAAAGATTTCGGGGAACACGTGGAGGAGGTTGGAGGTTGGGGAAACCCTTTAAAAACTCAAAGAAAATAAATGATTTCGGCCATTTCGGGCCTTCCTGAAGGACGTCTTGGAGGACTCCTGGGCCGTCTTGGAGGCCTCTTGCGGACCGTTTGGGCCATCTTAGGCCATCTTGAGGCCATCTTGGGCAGTTTTGGGTGCATCTTGGTGCAATCTTCGCCGTCTTGGAGGCCATCTTGGCCGTCTTGGAGGCATCTTGAAGGTCATCTTGGCCGTCTGGAGGCCATTCTGACCTTTTCGGGCCTTCCCGGAGGACGTCTTGGAGGGATCTTGGGCCGTCTTGGAGGCCTCTTGCGGGCCTTTTGAGCAGTCTAAGGCCATCTTGAGACCATCTGCGGCCGTCTTGGGTGCATCTTGGGGTCATCTTCGCTCTCTTGGAGGCCTTCGTGGCCGTTTTGGAGGCATCTTGGAGACCATCTTGGCCGTCTTCGAGGCCATCTTCGGCGTCTTCGGGGCCATCTTGGGCCGTCTTGGGCTCTTCTTGGGGGCCTCTTGGGCTGTCATGGTGCCATCTTGGAGGCCTCTTGGGCGCTCTTGGGACTATGTTGGAGGCCTCTTGGGCCGTCTTTGGCCGTCGGAGAGCTGATAAGAAGAAAATGCCAAACTCCTTCAAAAACTTGACGAACATCAATGATGTTCGCCTTTTCGGGCCTAGGCCATCTTGGAGCCATCTTGGGCCGTTTTGGAGGCTTCTTGGACGAACTTGAAGGCATCCTGGACTCTCTCGGGCCGTCTTGGAAGCCATCTTGGACCATCTTTGGCGACTTGGACGCCATCTTGGGCCATCTTGGAGGCCATCTCGGGCCAACGTAACCATCTTAGAGGCCATCTTGAGCCATCTTGGAGAATTTCTTGCGGTCGTTGAGGTGGTTGCGGGGCCTTTCCGGGACCCCAGCGGGATCGGCCGAAGCCTCAGGGAGAGTTCTTTCGGAGAGCTCAAACCACAATCGAAAGGATCTAGCACGCCGGGCACCCCTGTGGCAAGCCAACAGGGGGCGGCGGATCTAGTGGCCTTCGGTCCATCCCGCCACCGTGCCTGGGTGGGGCAGCTTTGAGGCCTCTTGGATGCTCGTCGGGGCCTGCCAGGGGTCAGCGTCCTCCGGGGGGCAGTTCTGAGGCCTCTGGGTGGGCTGTTTTGGCCTCCCCGAAGTGCAGGGCTTAGTCAGGACCATCCCAGAGGAGCATGACTCCTCGTGCAACGGCGACTGCGCCTGGCAGCGCGGGCTCGGCAGGTGCACGGCGCGCCCAGTGGAGGCGATGCCCGAGCTCGACGACCTCCTGGGGGACCCTGGCTGGCAGAATACATCGCCGTCGTCGTCGTTTCGGCGGAGGAGGAGGACGAGGAGGAGTAGGAGGAGGAGGAGGAGGAGGAGGAGGAGGAGGAGGAGGAGGAGGAGGAGGAGGCAGAGGAGAGATGGAGAGGAATGATGATGATGATGATGATGATGATGATGATGATGATGATGATGATGATGATGATGATGATGATGATGATGATGGTGTTGATGATGCTGATGATGATGAATATGATGATGATGATGATGATGATGATGATGATGATGATGATGATGATGATGATGATGATAATGATAATGATAATGATGATGATGTTGCTGATGATGATGAATCTGATGATGATGCTGATGATGCTGATGATGATGACGATGATGATGCTGATGCTGATGCTGATGCTGCTGATGATGATGGCGATGAGGATGATGATGATACTGATGATGCTGCTGCTGATGATGATGACGATGCTGATGAGAAGGTTGATGGCAATGCTGATGATGATGACGATGATCATGGTGGTGATGACGATGATGATGCTGATGATGATATTGATCATTGTCATGCTGATGATGAAGATGATGCTGATGCTGCTGCTGATGATGATGATGATTGTTCTGATGATGCTGATGATGCTGATGCTGAAGATGATGATGTTGATGCTGATGATGATGCCGATGCTGATGGTGATGCTGCTGCTGCTGCTTATGATGGTGATAATGATTATGATGACGATTCTGGTGATGATGATGATGATGATGATGATGGTGGTGAGTGTGATGGTGATGGTTATGGTGGTGATGATGCTGCTGATGATGCTGATGATGTTGATGAAGATGATGAGGACAATACTGCTGATGATGTTGACGAGGCTGATGTTACTGATGATGATGCTGATGCTGATGCTGCTGCTGCTGACGACGATGATGCTGCTGATGATGATGCTGATGATGCTGATGATGATATTGAGGATCGTAGTGGTGGTGGTGGTGATGGTGCTGATGATGATGCTGACTGCTGCTGCGGCTGTTGCTGCTGCTGATGATGATGCTGATGATGATGCTGCTGCTGATGATGATGTCGATGCAGATGATGATGATGATGATGATGATGATGATGATGATGATGATGATGATGATGATGATGATGATGATGATGATGATGATAATGATGATGGTGCTACTGCTGATAGTGATGATGCTGATGATGATGCTGACTGCTGCTGCGGCTGTTGCTGCTGCTGATGATGATGATGCTGATGATGATGGCGATGATGATGGTGATGATGAGGATGATGACGATGATGCTGCTGATGATAATGCTGCTGCTGATGATGATGATGCTGCTGCTGCTGATGATGATGATGATGATGACGACCATGCTGATGATGCTGCTGGTGGTGATGATGACCATGATGAAGAGACGGACGACGAGGAGGAGGAGAATGAGGATGAGGAGGAGGAGGAGGAAGAGCAGGAGGAGGAATGGAGGAATGGAGAAACGGAGGAATGGGGGACTGGAGAAATGCAAGACTTTAGGACTGGAGGAACGTATGGCTGGAGTAATGGAGGAGTGGATGGCTGGGGGAATGAAGGAATGGCGGAATGGACGACTGACGGGATGGAACATTGGAGGACGGTATGAACGGAGGCATTGAGGAATGGAGGAATGGAGGGACGGAGGAACGGAGGTCTGCATGAATGGAGGAACGGCGGAATGGAGGATTGGAGGAATGGAGGATTGGAAAAGGAGGAGAAATGGAGGAATGGAGGACTTGAGGAATATATGAATGGAGGAATGGAGGCATGGAGGAATGGAGGACTGGCGGTTTCGAGGAATGGAAGGATGGAGGAATGGAGGAATTTCAGGACTGGAGGAATGGCGTACTGGAAGAATGGAGGAATGAATGAATGGATCAATGACCGAATGGAGGAGCTCGATGATCTTCTGGGGGAGCCTGCCTTGCATAATGTCGTCGTCGTCGTCGCTTCCGAGGAGGAGGTGGATGGGGAGGAGGAGGAGGAGGAGGAGGATGAGGAGGAGGAGGAGGAGGAGGAGGATGAGGGGGAGGAGGAGGAGGAGGAGGAGGAGGAGGAGGAGGAAGACGAGGAGGAGGAGGAAGATGAGGAGGAGGGGGTATATATATATATATATATATTTATAGAGAGAGAGAGGGGGTAGGAGAAGGAGAAGAATACGGAGACGGGGAAGGAGGAGAAGGAGGAGGAGGAGAACGGTAGGAATGGAGGACCAGAGGAATGGAGGAATGTATGAGTTCGACGACCTTCTGGAGAAGCCTGGCCAACATAATACATCGTCGTTGCTTCGGTGGCGGAGGAGGGGACATGACGGAGGAGGAGACGTATGAGGAGGAGAAGGAGGAGGAGGAGGGGGATGAGGAGGAATGGAGGAAAGGAGGACTGGATGCATGGAGGAATGAATGAACGGAGAAATGGAGGAATGGAGGCATGGAGGAATGTAGGAACGGAGGACTGGAGGCATGGAGGCATGGAGGCACAGAGGAACGGATGAATGGAGGAACGGCGGAATTGAGGAATGGAGGAATAGATGAATGGAGGACTGGAGGAATGGAGGACTTTTACGAATGGGGGATTGGCGGAATGGAGGGCTGGAGGAATTTCAGGAATGGAGGACAGGACGAATGGAAGAATGGAGGAATGGAGGAATTTCACGAATGGAGGAATGGATGGGTGGAACAATGGAGGAAGTGAGGAATGGAGAACTGGAGGAATGGAGGATTGGAGGCATGGATGAACGGATGACTGGTGGAATGATCGGATGGATTTTTTACGGATTGGAGAACTGGAGGCATGGAGACATGGAGGCATGGAGACGTGGAGGCATGGCGGCATGTAGAAATGGAGGAGAAGGAGGGAGAGGAGGGAAAGCAGGAGGAGGAGGAGGAGGAGGATGAAGAGGAGGAGGAGGAGGAGGAGGAGGAGGGGGAGGGTTAGTAGGAGGAAGAGGAGGAAGAGGAGGAGGAGGAGGAGGAGGAGGAGGAGGAGGAGGAGGAGGGGAAGGAGGAGGAGAACGATTGCGACCTCTGAAACACAAATCCCCGAACCTCTCTTGGGGTGCGGTGAATCCAGCCGTTGCGACGGCATGCGTCCCAGTGGCCAGGAAACTTCCGACCTCGATCCTCGACGACGACGACTAGCATTATCATGGCGATCGCGACGACTGCGCAAACTGCGACGACGACGGCGGCCGAGGCGGCGACGACCGCGTTTTACAAAACAACCAGTAGAACTCCGCAGGAGCGCGTTCGGACCATCATCTTACCAGACGGTGGATGGGGAACGTGTGGGACAGGGGGAAAGGGGGGGGGGTAGCGGAGGAAATTGCGTTGTCTTCTTTGCTTGCGAGTAGGCGTTGCTGCCCAGACGGCCGCGCTGTCGTCGCCACTGCGGAGTGAGAACGCGGTGGTTTTCTAGCGTTGCTATCATGTGGTCGCCGAGAATATGGATTTCCTCATCGAGCCAGCCATCGTTGACAGCAACTCCCTGTTCCTCCTCGTCGCGTCTCATTCTCGGCGAGGATCGCGGTTCGAGGTAGTTTGGCTTTCGGGGGCACTTGGACCTCAGCGATACTGCCAACGCGTGCCCATCGACCGTCCTTCGTGGGCGAGGAACGTATCCGTATCCGCGGCCTCGCGGGCCAGGTCCCTGGGCCGCGGCCCCGCGGATGCAGGGCATCGCTTCGCGGATGTTTTGCGAGGGGCGTGTCCGTGCGACCGCGTATCCGCGGGATCGCGCCCCGGAGTCCAGAGATCGAGTGCGCGGATGCGGGTGCGCTCGCCGCTCGCAGAGTCCCCCTCCTCTCCTCCAGGGGCGGCCCCCCTCCCCCCGTCGAGGGTGCGGATGCGGATGCGTTCGCTGCTCGTGAGACTTCCTCCTTTCCTCCAGGGGCGCCCCCCTCCCCCCCCCCCGCCTTGCCGAGCCGAGAGGAGCTCGGGCGGCTGCGGCGCGGGCTGCAGGTCCGGGCGCCCGAGCTGGGCGACCGCGCGACGTACATCCGCAACGCCATCGTCGGCAGTGGCAGCAGGCGCCGGGCGTTTCCCCCCAGACCGGGGCTCATCTCGATGTCTTCAGCTCGATTCGATTCGATGTCGATCGATTCCAATTCCGATTCGGTTCGGCCTCGGATTCCCAATTTGGGCGTCGGTTTCACACTGGAGGCCTTACTGGCCTGCTTATTTCCGCCGATTCGGCTTTCCCCGATTTGGTTGCAGGTTTCCGCCGACGATCACCGATCCGACCAATCGATTCGATTCTAGGTTCTCCTGCCCCGCATCGGGGCCCAATTCACCCCCAGACGTGAGGCGTTTCGCAAACATCGCAATTGAGTTTTTTTGTTGTCTTCGGCTACTCAAGACCCTTGCAAGGACCCTTACTGTCAACAACAACTCATGATGATCCGCTCGGTAGCCGCTCGGGGGACGAGGGCACCGGCCACGCGGCATCTTAAGTGTTGCTGCAGAGCTTTTGACCAGAGCGTCTAGTCATGGATTTAGCAAGGATGGAACCACACTTTTTCGGCCACAGCCTTGAACAGCAGGAGTCCAGATGCCTGCCACGAGGTGTGAAGGCGCCCCGTGATAGTTCAGACAGCTCTCGTGCCGCTGGCGATGCGATGCAATGAAAAACCGTGTTCCAGGGAAGTTGTCGAGAGGTCGGGGGCCAGTGGCGCCAGATGAACGACGCAAAAAAACGGGGTCGCCTTCGACGACGCTGGAGCGTAAGCTGCCCGCGTGAGGTCTCGCGGAAGCCCTCGCTTCCAACGTGGCGTGCGGCGTTGGCGGCCCGCGTGCGCCATTGCGTAAGGTCGCGATGCCATCTCGCGTAAGACCCGTCTTTGATTGTCGCTCAGATGTCTGGGCACGCCTCGGGCAATTGTGTGATTGCTGACTCGCTTCGTGCCCCCCTTGTCTTCCGCGCTGCCGAACATCCTCCAGGCCCGCCACCTCTCGGAGATTCTCGACTGGTCTCCGCGACCTCTGGCGAGCTCTGCCCCTGCGAGCCCCGTCGACGCTGGGGTTCGCTTGGCTGCAGACATCCTTGGAGCTCTGAGCCCCAGGCTGTTTCTGAGAAGTCCGACTTGCGAGTGTGGGGCCCGTTGCCTGCTACACCGCACTCGTTTCTATAACCCCTGGGCGTGTGTGTGTGTGTGTGTGTGTGTGTGTGTGTGTGTGTGTGTGTGTGTGCGGCCGCTTCTGCACCAGCATGTGCGGGCGTGTGCGCGGCACGGGCCTGGCAGGTGCCCGGCATGTGCGGGCCTCCTGGGTCGCATGTCCTGCTGCATCTTCGCCTGACACCACGCCCGATGTCGCGCCCGTCCCGCCCTCGTCTTGGCCCAGGCAGAGGCAGAGGGAGCTGCTCTGGACGCACATGCGGTGCCTGGGCGACCGGCCGCTGCACCTCGATGCCCTCTTCGACCTGCTCCGCACGCCCCGCAGCGCCGCGGAGGCGAAGGATCGCCGTCGCTTCATCGTCGCTGCATCGTCGTCGTCGTCGTCGTCGTCGTCGTCGTCGTCGTCGTCGCCGTCGCCGTCGCCGTCGCCGTCGCCGTCGCCGTCGCCGTCGTCGTCGTCGTCGTCGTCGTCGTCGTCGTCCAATCCTCCTCCTTGTCCTCCTCGTCCTCCTCCTCCTCCTCCTCCTCCTCCTCCTCCTCTCTCCTTTCTATACCTCCTTCTCTTGCTCCCATCTCCGCCTCCTCCTCCTCCTCCTTCCTCCTCCTCTTTCCTCCTCCTCCTCCTCCTCCCACTCCCTCCCTCCCCCTCCTTCTCAGCTCTATGTTCCCACCCCTTCCTGCGACCTTATCCCCCATCCCTTCTCCCTCCCCCATCCGCCTCCTTTTTGTTTCACTTCACGCTTACGCTGCCGGCCGTCTCGTCCTGCGCTCCTTCCACCACCTCCTCCTGGAGGCTTCCACAGCGACAAATTCGTCAGGGCCTCAGTTGTTCTCTTCCGTCGTCGTCGGCGGCAGCGGCGTCGGCGTCGGCGTTGCCGTTGGCGTCGACGTCGGCGTCGGCGTCGGCGTCGGCGCCAGCGTCGTCGGCGTCGGCGCCGTCGCCTGCCGCCCGAGGACGTTGAGAGCCTGGTATGGGCGTCCCTGGAGTGGCACCCAGACGAGAAGCTGCAGCAGCAGATGACGAGGATGCGGCCCTGGGGCGGGGGGCGGGGACAGGGCAGGCGGGGCCAGGACGCGTGTGTGTGTGTGTGTGTGTGTGTGTGTGTGTGTGTGTGTGTGTGTGTGCACGACTGGCAAAACCTTGGTGATAATTGATCTAGGCCTGTCCCGCCCTAGAGCTCGCTGCGTTGGACCAGCCGGTCGATACGGAACAAGTTTTCGCTGCACGCGTGCTCTCACCGCACGACGCCTTTTTCGGCCTCTGCTCGCCTGTCAGCCAGGTGGCGCGAGGCCGCTCGGCGGCATCTCCTCGTGTGTGCACGCTTCCGCGCCTTTTCCTGCACGCGGCTGCCGCCACCCAGACCACCCATCCGCTACGCCGGGTGGAAATTCGCCCAACCGCGACCTTGTTTAGCGCTTCGCGACGGTGCCGCCGCCTCGCCGCTAGGGGATCAAGTGTTTTTTTTGTGTGTGTGTGCGTGTGTGTGTGTGTGTGCGTGTCCTGGCCCTGCCCTGCCCCGCTTCCCTCCGGGAGGAGGCCCTGCCCCCGTCGCTGCGTCCCCCGCCCTGCGCAGGTCGGATCGCCGGCCTTCCGCAGGCTTTTGACCCGGGTCTGCGCCCGCTGCCTCCTCCCCCGCCTGCCCCGCCCCCCGGTGGTTGCTTCTCCGGCTCCCACCGCTTGCGTGGTCCTCCGAGCGGGCCCTCGCTTGGGGTCCCTGGGAGGCCTAGTTGGCCACCCGCGGCCGCGGCTCCCGCCGCACCTCTCTGCCCGGTTTTCGGGCCAGCCCATCTGGCGTGCTCGCCCCACCGGCGTTAACCAGTCCGCGGGTTCCGCACTTGCTGCCTGCACTTCTCCCTGTGTTCCTGCCGCCCCCTCGCCCTGGGGTTGTCTTGGGCCGTCCCTCCCCTGGTTGCCTAGCAGGTCCTTCAGATCTCGGCGCCCTGGACGGTCCTCGCCTCCCCCGCTCCGCCCTGCTGGGTCTCCTTCCCCAATGCCCCCGGCCCATCCCCTGAGGTGGTCCTCTCTGGCGGCCGCCCTCGGTTGCCTGGAGGTCGCCTGGATCTCGGCACCTCGGCCGTTCTGTTGCGCTGCCCGCATCCAGCTTGCGCTGGACCTGCCCCCTGCCCCCCCGCCCCCCTTGGCTGTGCCCGGCTGCCCGCCGGCTGCCGCCGCCCAGCTGCTGCCTCGCCGCCGCCGCTGGCCCCCCGCCCCGGCGCCCACCCCGCCGCGGCCTGGCCCTGCTCTGAGCGGGCCCGGCTTCCTCTCCCCCCCGCCCGTGCCGGGCCTCCTCTCTCCTCCCGCGTGCCCTGCGGCTCAGTTCGCGTTTCGTGCGGTCCTTGAGTGCCGCATCGCCAGAGCAGTCCCTCTGCCCAGCCGCCGATGCAAAAAAATTGTGCGTGTGCGCACGCCTTCTTGCCCGCGGTTGAGCAGCCGAGAATGCGTGGGTTCATGCTTGTGCCTCTTCCGTCGCGACTGGCGGTGTTAGCTGGGCCGCCCCTGTTAGCTGCGGCGACCTGTACCTGGACCGGTCGACTGGGCGCCATCGGGCCGCCAGAGCGAAACAGTGTGGGTCCGCACGCTCCCCCGACCTTCGGCTCTGGCACCCGTCCGTTCTCATATTTTCTCGTCTCGCACTCGCTGGATTGCTTCTGCTTGGTGGCCGATGGCGTTCGGCTCCTTCGGGCGAAAAGAACTATGCACATGCACCGATCTTGGCCAGGCCCATGCTGCCGGGCCCAGGATCGGTGCATGTGCCTCCCTGCCCAAGGCAGGGGGGCGCGCATGCACCGATCCTGGGCTCAGGATGGGCCTGGCCAGAACAGGTGTCTGTGCATAGTACTCTTTCCTCGAGCTCCGCGCGGTTCCAGTGGCGGTCTCGCTCCCGCGCACGGTGGCGCACCCGCGCCGAGCGCGTCCCGCCCGCGCCTCCCGCGAAGAGCGCCCTGGGCCCAGCAAAAGCGCGTGCGCGGGGTGCCTCTGGGGGGGACGGCGGGGCCTCGGCGGCCGCAGCAGTGAGGCGGACAGCCCAGGGCCACCTGCGCGTGCATCCGCGGGGCTCTGGCCGCCTTCCTCGCCTTTTCGCCCGCTTGCACGCCGGACAATTTGCCGATCGGTGCCCCCGGGTGGCCCAACGCTGGTGCGGATCGCCTCCGCTTCGCCGCCGACGGGAAAAGTATGTCCCTGGGGCTTTGGTCGCCCACGTCCGCGAGGAGGCTCCCCGGCGAATGCGTGTACAGTCAACCCTCGTGGTGAATTTGAGTCGGGCATGCCTCTACAGGAGGAGTATTCAAGAACGTAACACTTTGGGAACGATCTGTCGTGATCCTTTTTGCAATGTTTCCGATTAGTTCCTGAGTGTCGTGTATTCTTCTTCCAAAATTCTCCTGTAGGAAAAGCTGCCCGACCCCATGGTAAGGATGAGCAACTTTCCAAGGTTGCCCTTGCATCCTTCCCCTTCGGCGCATCCTTGGTCGCTCTCGCCGGCCGCGCTCCTCTCTCAAAGTGCCGGCGTGGCCTTCCAAGGCCCTTGCGCCTTTACCGTGCGTGCAGTGCCCACCCCTGGGCCATCCACCCCCGTGCCCCCGCCCGCGGAAGAGGGCGAAGGACGGCATGGGCAAGGCGGGGGCGAGCAGCAGCAGGAGGAGGAGGAGGAGGAGGAGGAGGAGGAGGAGGAGGAGGAGGAGGAGGAGGAGGAGGAGGAGGAGGAGGGGGGGCGGGGGCCCCCTCCCCTGGCCTGAGAGAAGCCGTGCCGGCACGGTTGGATATCGGGACCGGCGCCTGGCCCCGCCCAGCGGGCGGGGCGTGCCCGCGCGCGTGCGCACGGCTGCTCTTCCGACGGCGCGGCGCCATGGGCTGCGCACGGGCGGGAGCACAACGGCCAAGCGAGTCTTGCGCGGGGCAGGCAGCGGCACCGTGGGAACCTTTCGCGCGCAGTGGGACTTGTCCGACAGGGCGCATGGCGAGGGGAACGCATGCGCCGCACCCGGGCGGGCGCGCCACTTCCAGGGGACGTCCGCGAAGGCGGACGCGACACTTCGCTCGAACGGGCGCGGCCCCGCTTCCGAAGACTGGGTGGGGGAGAAAAAAGGAGGCGCCTCGCCCGCGCGGGAACGCCCCTCTCAGGCGAATTTTCTGCGCGGCATTTGTGCCATACATTCTATTTTTGCATGCATATATACATATATTTATGTATGTACATATACATACATACATATATATATAAATACATGTATATATACCATGTAGGTATGTATGTATGTAGGTAGGTAGGTAGGTAGGTCGGTAGGTAGGTAGGTATGTATGTACGTACGTATGTGCGTACACATATACATATATATATATATATATATATATAGATACGTATGTATGTATATATGTCTGTCTGTCTGTCTGTCTGTCTGTCTGTCTGTCTGTCTGCATGCATGCGTGCGTGCATGCATGCATGCATGCATATATGTATGTATGTATGTATGAATGCATGCATGCATGCATGCATGCATGCATGTATGTATGTATGTACTTATGTATACATGTATGCATTTATGTATGTATGCATGCATGCATGTATGTATGTCTGTCTGTCTGTCTGTATGTATGTATGTATGTATGTGTGTGTATGCATGTATGTGTGCATGTGTGTATGTATATGTGTGTATGTATGTATGCATGCATGCATGTATGTATAAATGTATGTTTGTATGTATGTATGTGTGTATGCATGTATGTATGTATGTATGCATGCATGCATGCATGCATGCATGTATGTACGTATGTCTGTATGTATGTATGTATGTATGTATGTATGTATGTGCGTGTATGCATGTATGTGTGCATGTGTGTATGTATATGTGTGTATGTATGCACGCATGCATGCATGTATGTATATATGTATGTTTGTATGTATGTATGTGTGTATGCATGTATGTATGTATGTATGTATGTATGTATGTATGTATGTATGTGTGCATGCATGCATGCATGCATGTATGTATGTATGTATGTATGTATGCATGTATGGTCTGCATGCATGCATGCATGTATGTATGTATGCCTGCCTGCCTGTCTGTCTGTCTGTCTGTCTGTCTGTCTGTCTGTCTGTCTGTCTGTCTGTCTCTCTCTCTCTCTCTCGGAGTTGGACATATACACATATATACGTATATGAATGTATGTATGTATCTCTCTCTCTCTCTCTTTGCATGCATCTATACACATATGTATGTACATATACATATACATGCACATATATATAACACATGTATGTATGTATGTAGGTAGGTATATCGGTAGGTATGTATGTATGTATGTACGTATGTATATATATATATATAGATACGTATGTCTGTCTGTCTGTCTGTCTGTCTGTCTGTCTGTCTGTCTGTCTGTCTGTCTGTCTGTCTGTCTGTCTGTCTGCATGCATGCATGCATGCATGTATGTATTTGTGTGTGTATGTATTTATGTATGTATGTATGTGTGTGTATGTATGTATGTATGTATGTATGTATGTATGTATGTATGTGTGTATGTATGTACTCATGTATACATGTATGCATGTATGTATGTATGCATGTATGCATGTATGCATGTATGCATGTATGTATGTATGTATGTATGTATGTATGTATTTATTTATTTATTTGTTTATGTATGTATGTATGGTCTGCATGCATGCATGCATGTATGTATTTATGTATGTATGCCTGTCTGTCTGTATGTCTGTATGTCTGTCTGTCTGTCTGTCTGTCTGTCCGTCCGTCCGTCCGTCCGTCTGTCTGTCTGTCTGTCTGTCTGTCTGTCTGTCTGTCTGTCTGTCTCTCTCGGAGTTGGACAGGGGGGGGGGCGGGGCCAGTGCTTATACCCTCCATGGGCGCCCCCCGGGGGTTCCGGGGGGGTCCCAGAGCTCCCGAGACGGCCCGGGCCCGCTCTGAAACGGGCCACGACAGGCCAATAGGGGTCCCAAAAGGGCCCAAGACGGTCCCAAGAGGCCCGAAGACGCCCAAGATGCCCTCAAGACGGCCGACGAGGAC